CAGCCAGCTGTTCAAAGGCAGGATGATGTTTGTGATTCCCACGTGGACAGATCAATACTGGGTTTTCAAGCCTGTTCAAACAGTAGTTGTTGGCCAACCATCCATGCAGACAGATACATATACCTTTTATCTGTGTAACTACACAAAAAAGTCTGGAAACAGCAAACACTAATTCCAAGTAAAGCATTATTTTAAGGTACATTGACCTTCAGCCAAAATCTGAATTGTTTGGAAAGATTTACAGGCTATCTAACTGCAAAGAGAGGTGGAATAAGTATTTACAACACAAGAAAGCTTACATTCATTTAGCAGCTTAAATGCATTAGGCCGTCATTTATTACTATTAAATAAATTCATGGTTTAAAAATTTTCTAAATGCCTAGTTAAACTTTCTCTTGTCTAATTCTAATCTCTAAGTCCCTTCACGCACTCTTTCTGTTGCGGTCACCTTCATCTGTCTGCTATGATACCCCGGGTGACCTAAGGGAAGTAATTTCCCACATGTTGATTGCTCTCACCAGCCAAACGAGGGAAGTATCCAGTCTATGGGCTAGCAACCCTAAGGGCAGGAATAAAATTATAAACTGCCTGCCGGTTTCTATAAGAACCACCTTCCATGTCCACAACTTAATCCACAAAATAAGTAATTTACCAAGTCAGTTGAGGAGTGAGTAAAATGAAAGTTGCAGAGATAAACCACAACTTGCAGGGGTCAAGTATGCATGGCCCAGACACGTGGGAGGGATATTAAAGCTGTATTTCAGTGAAGGTACCTGACATCCAAGAGTCTGGGCTGAAAAGATTAACTGTGGACAAAATATATATTTTGGAGTAAAAAAAAAACTGAGTAATACAAGGGGGAGCTTAAAAAGCTACTTATGGCTTAATGAACTTCCCTTCCACCAGTCTTTAAAAATTACAGCTGTTTCTGAAACTGAAATCCAGACCCCCTGGCTACATTTGCAGTTTCCCAGCGCTTTCATCACTGCTGTCTGGTCTGGAAGAGCAAGCAGGGAGAGATGTAAAGAAAAGATGCTAAGGCACGGGAGGCCAAATGCATCCATCCTGTGATGGCACCCTCTTCTTTCCTTTTAGTGCACGAGAGTAACAATGGAACCTAAATACTCAAGAGATAACCTCATATTGATGACAGGCATCTCTAGAAAATTAGCCAAATTACCCACTGTAATGAGCACTCTTGCAAGGTTAAGTGATATAAAATTAAAAATTACTGGTTGATTAAACTACAATTATGCCAGTTTTGAGCTTCTGAATGAACACACTGCTGTATGCTTGGCAACGAAAACCCGGATGAGAACAGGAGCAGTGAATCCCATGGGCAACCAGAAATCATTATTTTGGGGTGGGTGGAGGAGGAGTCTGGAGGGTAGAATAGAGGACCGAATTTGCTACAAACGTAAGCACTGTTTATTACCCAGTTATGGTAAGGAAAGTCTGAAATTGCAACTGGGAATTGCTACTACACACAGACACCTGCATCCCAGGCCCAGCACAGGCCCCGGGGGAAAGTGAGCTGCAGGAAACTCCTCCGTGACCCCTGCTGCTCACCACACTGGACAGCAGCGCTGTTAAAAGCAGCTTTCACTGCCTGGCTAAGCCTCTGCTGCTCTTCAGTTATTTCTGCTAATATGCCAACTTCGTAATATTAGTTGTTAACATACTAAATTAAATTTTTTTTGGCCTTTGAATGAAGATTTTCTCAAGAATTATAGCAAAAATTTGAGGGATTCAGCATTCACCCATTATGATTTAATCTTCAATGCCAGAGGCTTTAGCAGTTTCTAATAAAAATTTGGTTTAGATCTTTGGATCAGGTAAGACTGAAAGAAATGAGGTACTCAGAACCAACCCTCTCTACAAATACTTTGATATAAATCATATTTACTTGCTCCTAGAATGATCCGTGAGAGAAATTTTAAATTAAAAATTTTTTAAATTTAAATAACATAAATCTGAAATTTTCTTGAGGAAAAGTTTGGGTTAAAGCAACACATCAAAACAATTCTCTCACATCCAGAATACTTTGGGCTATACTCTAAATGTATTCTTCTGGTTTCTGCTCTCACCTGTGAGGATAACATGTCCACACACGTGCATCACATGAAACATTTAACAACTCAAACACATGTAGTACGGAAATCAAAGTTCACTTTGACCAATGCGGTTTGATCTGTTATTAAATGCTTTGCAGGGTCACACAAGAACATGTTCTAACATTTTATGGACAGGATGAAACCCTGGTCGCGCTGGCCTTCTGCTTCAAAGTCTGTTCTGAACCTTTTCCACCTGCTGGTGGGAATGTAAAATGGCACAACCACTCCGGGAAACAGTCTGGGAGTTCCTCTACCAGTTAGACTGCCGCCACCATTCCACCCAGTCATCTGCCCCTCGGTGAAACACCCAACAGAAAAGAAAACCTATGTCCACGTGGAAGCTGGTGCACAAGCATCTGCGACAGCCCAAAAGTAAGAACAACCCTAATCTCCATCGTCTGACAAATGTGGGATATCTGTACAATGGAACACCACTTGGCCATAAAAAGGAATGAAGTACTAATACATGCTACAAGATGGATGAATCTTGAAAAGATTATATGAAATGAAATGAAAAGAGCCAGTTACAAAAGGCCACAAGTTTTACAATTCCATTCATAAGGAGTGTCTAGGATAAACGAATCTATACAAAGAGCAGAGGAGTTGTAGCCTAGGCTTGGGGCGTGGGGACGGGAGGAGAAGGGGGTGCTGGCTAAGGGTGAGGGATTTCCTTTCAGGGGAATGAAAGGGTTTGTACTGAAAATGAGGTAATGACTGCACACAACTGTGAAGAAACTAAAACCTATCAAACTACACACTTTAAATGGGTGAATTTTATGTATGTAAGTTGTAATTCAATAAAGCTATTACTTTAAAAATAGTCTGTTCTGCCCTGGCTGGTGGGGCTCAGTGGCCTGCAAACCCAAAGGCGGCCAGGTCCAGTAACAAGCCAGGCCCTCCCCTGGGGGCAGGCACGTGGCAACCAGTCAGTGTTTTTTCTCCCTCTCTTTCTCCTCCCCTCCCCTCTCTGAGAGTAAATAAAGTCTTTAAAAAAAAAGCGAAAAATAAATAAAAATAATAAAAATAACCTGTTCTGAGATGTGAGGTACTTGAGAATCAGCAAACCTCTTTCACAAAGATTTTCTGGTCGATAGTAAAAGAATTAGTTAAACTCACATCCAATTTACTTTATTGTAATTGGAACCAGCTTGCAGTATTTTGTTATGTACATTTCTAAAATGTGAATGCAGTTTAAGAAAAGACATCATTACATCAGATATTCCAGGCAGCTGGCCATGAGACTTTTTCATCAAACAAACCATCTTAAAAGGATTCCGGAGTGTATTATCTTCTTTCTTGTTGCCTGATTTTTCTTATAAGCTGTAATTTCCCTAAAACTCTCACGTTAAACAGCACTGGGTATGAAGAAGCCACTCGTTAATTCAAAAAAGACTTGTACCCCCTCTTGCACACCAGGCACCGTCTTAGACACATGTGTGTGTACACGTGCACACACACTACAAAGCCCCTGCTCCTTCGGAGCTTGCACTCTGTTAGGACAAGATAAACACTGAACAGACACTGGTTTTAAAGACATATTATTAAAACGGGGGGTCATGATATGGAGGGGTGCTTACTTTAGAGGCAGGGGCTAGGAAAGGAGGCTTCATGGGAAGTTAGGTTTGAGGTGAGAAAAGGTACCAGCCACTGAAAGACTAGGGAAGAAAACTCCAGGCAGAGAAAATAATTCTCCTGATGGCAGCATCAGGAGAAGAAAAAGGAAGGATTACTGTGGGCTGCTGGTGACCAACCTTCCTCTGAGATTCTCAGGCACCATTCTGTACAAGGTGTGTGGCAAGGTGACTCACGGATGGTGGTGGCAGGAAGACAGATGTCTGCATACTTTAAACCTTTACAAGGTCTCACAACTCTTAAACAACAGGAGGCCATCCTGGTTAACCCCAACCTAAAGTGGTCTCCTCTCCCTCTTCTTGTACTCGGCACCTGTTTGTACCACTCATTCTTTTGAATGTACCAGTGCAAGGCACTGTGGGAGGAGCGCCGGGACTTAAGACAAACCAGACATGCACACCTCAACTGCTTCTTAAGGCAGGAAATGATCTGGTAGCACAAAATATACAGGCACAACAACACAACGTAGAAAGGAAATGCGGGCCACAAAAAAGAGTTATAAAATGTAAGAGTGGCCAGAGACGGCTCCCAGCCCGAGTGTCAGGGAAAGCCTCCAGGGGCAGGGTGCACCTCGGCAGGGCAGGTCTGTGACGCATGGGACATCAGACATATGGGGGGCAACACGCCAATCTGCTGCAGCCCTAATTAACTTCAAATGTATTTTAAAGTATTGTAAGCTCTCCAACCCAGTTACAAGCTCAGGGAAAGAAGGCTTCATATTCCTTGTACTTCTCTGTGATGTTCAGCATGGTATTTTGCTGAGCTAGGCAACTCGCTGTGGATCCACTGGAAGAGATGTCAGCTTCGGCACTACAGGTAAAGCTAAATTATTCTTTGCTTCATGGCACGGTCCCAGCCTTTGAAATAGATGATCCCCCTAAACCTCTTTATTCATTGTATCATTTCACAGGGACATTGCTAAAAGTGTTTCTAAAAGTAATAGGTATTACAGATAAACTGTATATAATGTGTTTCTGAATATACACAGATATGCCAAGAGTTCTATATATATTTCTGTGTCTGCATATATCACTCTAATTTCACAACCTCACAAGATTATTTTGAACTTCTGCTACACCAAAGTTTAAACTTATGAGAACCGCCCCCCCCAGCCCCGATCAAACTTTCCCATCCAGGGCTTTAAAATCCCTTCCCATTCCCAACAAAACATCTTAAATCAGAGAAGAAAAGCCACGTGATATTTTTAAGGCAATGTCTCAATACGTCTAAAAAATATTCCATGGCCAAACTCACCATAGAGAGCCGTCCAAGTTTGATTAATTACATCTAGACACACAGTTCCTGACCTGAAACAGATGGAAAGAATGGCATTTTCTTAAAAATCAGAAAGTTAATTGCATGTATCTGGCAACTAATTTTATTTATCAAGAAAAATACTTTTAATAGATCATTAAAAAAAGAATCCCATTTAGGGAAACATGATGAGAATATTTAGGGTATGGCAAAATAGGTTTACAGTTGTGAGTGCATGAAACAGAATATATTCTTGCACTATTATTTATTATTGTGTTATTTCCCACACGAACAACTGTTAACTTATTTCCCCCCCACCCTGTCTTAGGTGTCTCCTTACAGATCGAAGGGCAAAAACTGTCACGATACAATGGAGTAACCAACAACATCTTCGCCGGGAGATGAGAATGAGCACTGGTAACTAGAGGCCGGCAGGCCTGTGTGCCTCAGAAGGGGACACCTGAGGAGGACACAGCCTGCTCTGTGGTTTTCTGGCCGTGTGTACTCAGTGTCATGGTAAGGAAACATCAGACAAGCCCAAACGGAGGGACAGTCATCCAATAAAATAATGGGTCTAAATAATACCAATTTCATAAAAAGATGATTAAAGTAATTCCAGATTAGTTTGCAGAAACATAACAACTAAATGCAATACTTGCGCCTGGATTGGATCCTTTATTGAATGAAAAAAAAATGCTAAAAAAGAAACACTGGCAGGATGTGGCAATAGATTAAAAACTACTACTACATTAACATTCAGCCCCTGAGTCTGACGGCCGCACTGCAGTTGCAGGAGAGAGCGTCCTGCTGTTAGGGCGACTCATGCACAGAAGTATCACAGGACCACGGGCTCGATGCAGGTGCATGCCCTCCTCACACAGGGGTCTGAATGCCCCATTGTACATGTATGTGTGTGCACACAGAATACAAAAATTTAGTGCCATAACAAGGAAAAAAATGCAGAACAAATAATCACATATTCTAAACAGCACTGAAAGTAATAAAATAGGAGGCACTGGTATCACATTTTAAAATATCTCTCATAACAGAAGGAAAGAAAGGGACAATTAAGATTCAATAACTGAAACGAAACTACAATTATTCATGTTTGTTTTACTCTCGCACACTGAGAAATACTTTAAGGGCTGAAAATGATAAATCTGTACACTGTATTGGAAACAGTTCTCTTAAGTTGTGTCTATACAAAGAGAACAGAGATGTTGAAATATTACAAATGCTAGCTGGCTATCAAGAAAATGAAGGACCCACTCATGACAGTGGAAAAGCTAAGCAGTCCAATAGTAGAATTTGAACTAAGTGGTCAGTATACCATATTCCTGGGACTCTACAGTTTAAGTGACCATTCACACAGTCCTATCTGCCGATAAAATCCAAAAAGAAAATGAAAGTTTTTGTATATCGAAGAGAGGTGAATGCTAATCAAGAGCAGTTGCTGCTAAGGTTTAAACATTTTTAAAGTTACTTACGCTTCATCAATGTTGGGATGGAAAATTTTATTCATGAATCCTGTAAAAAGAGATGTCAGTGAGCAGCAAAAAGTATCTAGAGAACATTTAGTTTTAAAGTATTTCTGTACTGAAAGCAATTTCAGAATTGGAAAAAAGTGATGATACCCAAAACTCATTACTTTCAATCTTAAACTTTTGATTACTGATAAGACTATATATTCTCCTGGCAATGTCATTTACTTATAATGCATTAGAGTCCCCAAAAAAACAAACAAAAAAACCCCCCAAAACTAACAATCTCTGAAAGCAATACAACTTTTTATACAAAATAATCATTAAAAGAAATTTTTTCTGAGCTATGAAGGTGCTTGCCAAGAAAATTTTTTTGTATTAATTTATTAACTAGTGCCATGACAAAAGTTAAGAAAGCAATCAATCCCCTGACTCCCCTCCCCAGAGTTTTATCATCCAGTCTCTAAAGGTGAAGGTTCTGCATTTGAACTTCTCTTTCTGAAGCTCAGTTACTGGCATTGCTCTGCCACACTCACTGTGTACGGACATCAATGAAACTGCTGAAATGTTAAAGGGGTACCACTTCCAAACCACAAAGAATTTCATAAGGACGGTGACCAAAGTATTTCCTTTCACTTTAGCCGACTCATTCCAGGAAACCCAGCTTTGATTAAAATTGGGGCAACCAAGAAATGAGGCAAGGAGTTAAAAAAAAAAACACAACAAAACTCTGTAAGATGGCTAGATCTGTCAGGGATCCAAGTTTTTCTGAGTTATTCACAGAAGAACAAGTATAGACTTTAACAAATATACTAGTACTTAAATTCCAAGGAGAAATTAATTTATTTTCTATCTTGAAACTGGTGATACATCATCAGTTTGCATTCATGTAGATGGCAACATTCTAAAGCAGGGATCCACTGTCAAAGCTGGCATTTCATCTTCCTTTTCACCTCACTTCCTTTTAAAACTTCCTTATTCCCTTCCATGCTTTCAAAGCCTGAAGTGCTTAGTACTAAACTGACCACCCCTGTTTCTCACTCCCACTCTCTCTCATCACCTCACCCCTCACATGTCTCCCACTTTCCTTTATTCAGATTATATTTGGTCAATGTCTATGTGTCAGGCTTGTTGAGGGAACAAAATAATAATACACTATTCTTGAGGAGGTCGCTGTAGCAGTGGAACAAGAGACATGAAGAAGTAACTGCAATTTATGCACAGAGCTGACACAGTCAGGGAAGAGGAAGTTGTCAGTGAAGAGTCAGAAAACTGGCATCAGAGGAGGACCCTCGAGAATGAATTGTGACAGACGGTATCTCGGAAAATGTAAGAAACTTATCTGGACTCAGAAAAGGGAGAGATGAACGTGCAATCCCAGGGATGCCAGCCCTCACCTGCTCCAGCCACTCCGAGTACTGAATATGCTTCGAATGCTTGTTTTGTAATCCTGGGTTAAAATAGTTTATGTCTTATCTACCACTATTAAGAGAACCCATGCAATGTTCACATTAAAAAGAAATGTGATGTAAAAAGAAAAGCCTTGTAGCCAATTACAATTTCATATTGGTTTTTATTATGGAAATGAAAGATGTTTCAAAGTTTAGACTTAAGAGGCATGTGTTTAAGAGATTTTACTAAGCCAATGGAAATGCTCATGTCTTAAGGTTAAGAGGAGAAAAAGCAGGATAAAAACCTACAGGACTCTAGAAAAAGAGGTGTTGGAGAAGACCTATGAGGACTATTCATTGAAGCATCATTTATAAAAGCTAAGAAACGAATCTGACTCCCATCGAAAGGGACTGGAGAAACTGTAAGCACACCCATACACTAGGAGTCCCACGCAGCCAAGGTAATGAACTGGACTGTTCAGTATCGACTTGACCGAGAAGGGAAAGAGGTGAAGAATGATGTATTTACCATATGATACCATTTAAAGAAACTAAAACAAAGCAACACCATGTATTCTCTTTAGTGACAAATACGGAAATTGCACTGGACAACACATATCAAACTTGCAAAAGTAATTATTTCGGTGAGAGTGCAGAGCCAATGGTAGAATCAGGGGACAGAACAGGCAACAGTATTAAAGACAAATTTATAATACTATATGCCTTTTAAAAAGACAGAATGCGCCCTGGCTGGTATAGCTCAGTGGATTGAGCATGGGACTGCGAACCAAAGGATCACGGTTTGATTCCCAGTCAGGGCACATGCCTGGGTTGCAGGCCAGTTCCCAGCAGGGGACGCACGAGAGGCAACCATACACTGATATTTCTTTCCCTCTCTCCTTCCCTTTCCCTCTAAAGATAAATACATAAAAACCTTAAAAAAAAAAAAAGACAGAATGTGTTTGTATATAATTCACTCCATTTTTTTAAACAAGCAAATATGTACAACTATTAACAGTTGCTTAATTCTTTTTTTTAAAGAATTTTCTTTTTTTTAAATTTTATTTATTTATCTTTAGAAGGGGAGAGAAGGAGAGAAGGAGAAAAATATCAACGTATGGTTGCTTCTGGTGCATCCCCTGCTGGGAACTGGCCCACAACCCAGGTATGTGCCCTGATGGGGAATTGAACCTCGATCTTTTGGTTTGCAGGCCTGTGCTCAATCCACTGAGCTACACCAGCCAGGGCTAACAGTTGCTTAATTCTTCATGATGGAAATATTTTCTCCATTATACTTTTCAAATTACATACCCCCCACTCTCCAGAAGCAGGGTCACGGCAATGAAAAGGCTGGAGGGAAGTACACAAGCGTGAACGAGAGTCAGCTTCAGAGACCACCCCCATCACCATTTCTACTACTATTCTTCTACTTGTCACAATTTTTACAATGTCTAATTTTAACAGTTGAAAAACACTTTCAAATAAAAAATATATAAACAGTAGCAAACACTCTAAAGCAAACCTAATTATACACAGGTTATCCAGTGCTGAACCCTTTCAAGGAAAAGCGTCACTAAAATCAACCATTTTATTTGAGTGTTTATATCTCAAATATTCTTGCTTTAAAAATACAAATTCAACACAAAAATCAGAAGACCCTCAGGTTACGAGGCATCCAAGTCGTCAGGATTAGTTACGCACAGGAACATACTGCTATGCTAACTGCCAAGACACTTCCTGGCGCAAGGAAAACACTACTGTTTAGCCACTATATGGTTTAATTCAAGAGACTTGTTCTGTTAATGTGGGAAGTATTTTGAAGTTACAACTGAGAACTTAAAATTGAACTTGGTACTTAAGATTCTGCTTCAGCTAGAATTCTGGAAGGAGCACCCAGGGAAGCAACAGCAATGGCAGAACGTTCCTGTGCTGCCCGTAGGGGAGGATCGCCGGGAGAGCTCTTTAAAAACAGAGGTGCTGTTGGAACTTGGCAAGTGTTATGGAGAAACACGTAGCAAAGAAGGGGCTGGAATCAGGAATGCGGGGGTGCAGCCACAAGTTTAAATAGGATGGTCAGCAAGGGCCTTATGGAGAGGGTGACTTAGTCTGAAGGGAGTGAGTGGGGAAAGAGTGTGCACAGCACCCACGGCCAGTGCAAAGTGCTCCAGGGGTCTGCTGGGTGTCTGAAGGCCAGAGAAGAGAGTAGGGAAACTGAAGTGGAGTGAATAAGGGGCAGAAGATCTGCCGAGAGGTCAGAGAGATAATGAGCATTTGTGAGTCCCTCTAAGGATGCTGGCTTTCACTCTGTGTAAGGTGGGAAGCCTGCTGGGGAAAGGACGGAGAATGGCAATCCCAGCAAAACAGAACGAGCTGTCTCTCCTACAGTAAGGACGAAGCTTCAACAACTCATGTCACAGGAAACCTCAAAGGTATGTCCGGAAAGCAGCTATGGTGAAAGACCTTTACATGTTTATTAAAACTGCCCCTGCAAGGTTAAGGTGCCCCCTCCTTGTACAAGGCCTGGAGATTACCAGATGGCAGAATCACACTGCAGAGAGGAAAGCACTCGCAGAGACTTGGGCTCGTCCCAGCTCTGCTATTCACTGCAGACCTTGAGCAGGTCACTTCACTTCTGTGGGCCTGTTTCTCTGCCAGGAGCGAAGAGAAAACAGCTGGACTCTATCATCTCTAAAACCTCCAGTCTTACTCTATCAGCCCCAAAACAGTAGGATTTAGAAACAATGGCCAGAGCTCCGAATACAGAAGACTAAGACTTAAGGAGAAATGTCCAGAGTTCAAGTCCTTAAAGGAAATTTATTCTGTAAGGCACATGTTTAGGAACAAAAGTATTCTGGAGAATACAAAGCTCCCAACATGCCGAAATACCACCAAGCGACACTGTATGTGCCAACTATTCCAAAGCAGGCAGAAAACAGAGATAAAAGCACAGCCAGCCAAATGCTAACAGTTCCCAGACTACAATCCTCTTCCTGTACCAGGCTTTTTCAATTGTTAGAAAAATACCCAAAACAAATAAATTAAAATAAGCACCTGTATCTCCTGTACATTTGTTCTTGGCTAAGCTGTGGGCAGCATCTGTGGCAAAGCCATTTACATTCTATTCTGGACGATGATGGCAACAATGGAACTTCTGGATAAGGAGCGGAGCAGATGAGAAAGAGCAGGCCAGGAATTCAGAAAAGGAAGGTTCTCAGGGCTGAGCGTGTTTGCCCTGGCGTGTTCTCCTTCCTTTTGGCAATGCTAACACCACACTAATGAATACGTCTGCAACAAGAGAATTTTCCCAACACTTGTTTCCATTCAACCAGGAACTATTTTGAAGCTATTTTAAGAGAACATATTTTGAAAACTGCTTTTATGGAAACATGGTAAGTGGAAGCAGCAAGTCATTTTTAATCTACGTGACTTACTATTTTATTCACCACCAGACATTTTCTAATGGTATATTCCAATGATTTGACCAGATAAAATTCCTAACTCCTTTGTTTAAAATCTTTTTATTTTAAAGATTTTATTCATTTATCTTTAGAGAGGGGGGAAGGGAGGGAGAGGGAGAGAGAAACATCAATTCGTGGTTCCTCTCATGCATCTCCCACTAGGAACCTGGCCTGCAACCCAGGCATGTGCCCTAACA